TCTCTTCCCCCTCTCTCTCTCTCACCGTATATTTTTGTTTCTCTCTCTCTCTCACCGTATATTTTTGTTTCTCTCTCTCTCTCTCTCTTTTGTATACCCATGTGATTTTACGACCTGTTTGCTGGAAATTGAGCCACAGTATTTGTGTTAAGACAAAAGTTCAAGTTCAATTGTGTCCCATCCTTCCTCCCTCCATCCGTCCCTACCTCTTCTTATTTTTAATACAAATTCTCATCATTTTTTTATCACAACAAATTTCACCCCAACCCTCCTATATATCTTTGTATATTAATCTTCAAACAATGTTCCTCTCAACACTCTTTCTAATAAAAAATAATAAAATGATATATATTTTTTTAAAGTGTATAACAGCCATCACTTTCGACCCCTAAAACACAATTCACGACACAGATTTTGATGAATTCCAAAAACGTACAAATTTATTATGCTTTGGATTCATTATCATGCAAGAATCTACATTATAGTTACAGTATTTGATGTTTTCTTTCCACTATTTACACTATACAACATTTAAATTTTGAGCTCCCTTTGGATACAAACAGTGTACAAAGGTAAAATTTGTAAATAGATATATATATATATCTGAAATAATTTCAATTATTACAATAACTCTCTATGAAGTATACAAATTATTCTACATGATCATGAACGATATTCACACTACATGCACATCACAAAGTATATAGGAGAATTATTAAAAAATGCAAACATATATCTTATTCTCTCAGTGAAAATTCCCCAACTTTGAAATATCTTTTTGATGAAATGAAAATCATCATTTTTTATCCCACACAAGATTTGTTGTTTTTCTCCTGGAAGTTATAGTCCCCCAAAATAGGGAAAAGGACTCAAGTCCACGTTTCTGTATTGTCAGAAGGGCCTTCACTTGGTAAACTGATGAAAGACCAAAATTTTTAATCGGCAATGGAAGTCACCATTTGTAGGTATTGCAAATACTTTCATTTACTAAAATAAATAAAAAGTTCTATTTAGAACACTGTAACAGGCATTTTTATTGCAAAAGCACAGGAGCTTAATTCTCTTTGCAATAACATATAAATATATATTGAAGCATTAAAACATTGAAAATTCATTAATTTAATTGAAATACCCTATACATGTTTTCTAAACTACAAGAAATAAACGTCTAATCCTTTCACTCAAAACTGCCAGCAATTTTGAGGGAAAATGATCAAATACCAGAGGAAAGTTAAAAAACAGGAACATCGATTTAGAATTAAAGACATCTTTGTCCCATATGACACAGCATAGCAACATACTATGCTGTTTGAGAGTATATTTGGTGGATGATGGCTTTGTAAATGATTATTGAAGCTAGGTTATTTGTTTCTTTAATCGAGTAAAAAGAAACGCAAAGAAAAAAAAGATTATGAGAAACACAGTATGTCTGAAAAATACAATTTGACAAACTCTTCACATCGAACTTCCTCCTTTTTCTTTCTCTTAACCCATCAAGGAGAGGAATCTTTACAATCGTTTCCCTTCAAATTGGCAATATTTTTAATGTTACACTTTTTAAACAAAAGAATATGTAACGCACAGTAAAATACATGGACCGAAAGTGTGTGGAATACTGTGCCAGGAGTGTCGATGTTGACAGACACGGCAAGTTACAAATGTTCACTACTATTATTATCATTATTATTATTACTAATATTAATAAGCATGGTAGGATAGAGCAATTATGCAATATTCAACATGTTGCCAATTTAAAGATTTTAATAATGATTATTCTTTAAAAAAAAAAAATATGTAGTGTAAAAATTATAAAAGTAATGCACACAAAAATGCATAGACTATAGAAAGAAAACATTGCTCTTTCTACTTTTGAAAATGGGATACTTTTTGGAACTTGAAATTTAAAAGTTAATGAGCCAAACAACAAACATTTCTTCCTCAATGGGTTACAAGAGATCATCTAATGGGGTACCATTCTACGTCTATCTACTTTCTGGAATGTTGTGTATGTTTTGTGCAAATGTCTCTCACATTCTGTGATCCTAAATACAGAAGAACAAAGAAAAAGGAGAAACAGAGAGAAAGAAAAAAAGAGAGAAAGAAAAAAAAAAGCTTGAAGGTGAACATAAAGCATCTGTGTAAATAGACCAGTTCACAAATGTATTCCATTTTTCTTCATTTATATGCTACAATGGTAACTCAGAGCTCTGCCTGATAGAGCAACAACTTGCGTTTTGCAACCTGAACACTGACTACTGGGATAGAATGCCTTTGTCCAAATGAGTCTTATAGTATGTAACAAGGCTAAGAAAATAAGCTTCCATGACTCGAAAGACAAAATTTGAAAAATAGTCTAATGCAGAGTAGGTATATTCGAATGTAATGTTCTGAAAGGATATTAAAAATCAGCTCTTATTTTAGTTGAAGATCGGGACACATTTCATCAAGGATCAACTGTATCTAAATGTATAACATGATAGATTGAGTTTAAAAAAAAAAATCTTTTGAGAAGCTTAATGCATGCCGTCTATATAGCCAAGACCAATGCCATGCTCTCTTCGCATTAGCGTTGCATTCATGTACTGTACAAAGATGGTGCTAATAGTCAAAGGTTTAGCTACAAGTAAGAGATTTACAACCATAAGGCAGATTTTCAGTTATTTTGAAAGACATAACCCAGGTACAAGAAATCAGCCAAAGGTTTGAAACAGAATTTGGAAGACGAAAATTGAGACATTGTCTGTTTGGCACCGGAAGGGTGTTAAGCTTGTGTGTTAATTCCTTTCAATCTAGCTCAAAACAGATGGAAAATCAACTGTTATCACCGTAACTGAATACTTTCATTGAAAGTACACCCATTAAACACCAAGTTAAAGATGAAGTTGAGTTCTGGTCATTTGATTATTCTGAAAAAGACGGTGTGGAGCAATCAGAAAAAGTTGATCATGTAGCATATAAGTATTGGTGTGTACTGCAAGGTTCTTGAATCATCAAAATGATAAGAAATTTGGCCCAGTCTTTGTATAAGTAACAAACACTGTACACAGAAAAATGTATATGGGACTACACAAACATGTGGTCCTCATTTTTAAGCTGTTACATGTCATATTTAAAATATGGAGGCATTTGAAGATCCATGCCTTTCAGGGAACATTTTTTCTCGATGTTCTTCCACACTTGCATAATAACAATGAAAACGTTCCTTAAATGATTTCCCACCTCGCCCCAGAACTCAACCTTCTCTTTAAACACCATGTTACTACCGATACAAATGATAACTACATAGTGTATACCCATCGACATCAATTCTGTTAGTATAGGTATAATATGGAATTTCCATGTATTCCTTCCAAAATGTTTCAAAGCATTTGGTTATATAGAATAACATGGAAAATAGTACAGGCAAACATTTTTATTGAATAGAAAGTCATGTGAAAAAGTGTTAAAAGAAGCAACACAGAATCGTCTGTTTGGAGCCAGAAGGGCGTTAACTCATAGAATTTAACACAGAGTTTAGGCCCTTCTGCCTCTGAACAGACGGTTTATCTTGTCTTCACTTTTGGAAGCATCGAATATTTCAAGGTGTGCAAAAGATTATTTCAAATGCATTTACAAGATTAGTTTCTAGAATAGAGAAAGATATTAGTCGTTTTGCATAATACGTCCATTTTTACACAAACAATGTGAAAGACTTTCTGTTGATATTGTGGATTGAAAAAGCAATATTTAACATTCAATATTGACTTACAGACGCTAAGACAGAAAAAAATTACTGACGATGCAATTTCTTATAGCATTAACTAAATTTTCTACGAGAAATTGACCAAACCATTTTAAGATGTAGACAAAAGCAACTATAGGGCCTATCTGCATAACATTACAATAAATAACCTCCAAAAATGTTGTTTCTCCGGCTGAACTGTAACCGATCATCCTATTCAAGCAGATAAACGAGTAATCCTACCCCAGATATTATTGAAATGGTTGTCTCCATAAAGAACTGTATTGCTGGTCTTCTAAGACAAGAGAGAAGTTTGTTATCAACTAAACTGTCTACCCTCCTACTAACTTCTGCACTGTTTTTACTTTGAAAAAATGAGCACAATCTTTTTTACATTTGCATCCACAATCACATACACAGCACCTCTTGTATTAAACAGTAAACACATGTTAAACTTGTATCGCTAGCAGGTATTTTTAGGATACACCCTGTATTCATCATGGATCTGTCATCCACTGGAAAATTGAGAATATTCTGGTTATTTCTGGTCCAGATAGATTTGAGATTAAAACACTTTTGAAACATTATTTGCATATAATAAGACACAGAGAGATTAAGATCTAATCAGTTTGGAGCGAGAAGGGCATTAACCCAAAATTAAGGCCCTTCTGGCTCTCAACAGATGATCCGAGATATCTTATATTTCTTGGATATCTGGGTATGCAAGAAAAACCAATGGGTAGTATAAGGAGTAGATCCTGAATCCTGTTTGATAACGCAAATCATCTGTTTCAAGCCAAAAGGGCGTTAACTCCTTTTACGCTTTTACATCTCGTCAGCGCTCAGCAGATGAAATAACTTTAGGGGCAAGAGCTTCTGTCCTTCGGTCAATATTGTGGCCCGTTTTGAAAACTCGGTGGCTCCATGGTGTCTTGCATCTCGTTGAGCAGTTTCATTTCCAATACTCTAAGATCAGCCACGGAGTTATGGTCACCTTAATGCCCTTATTGCTCTAGGTCAGTTAATGTCTTCTTTGCAGCAGAAAGACTTTGAAGTCTTCACCGTTCACTAGTGCAGTTTCAAGATGGCAGCATGTATGTGAATAACCTCTTGGTGCAACGGTTGTAAGTCTTGAATCTTACGGCATCAGGCGGAACATTTCAGGACCAATAAAGTCACTTCCTTTAACCTCCCGAAATCCACAAATTGGCAACCTGACATCACATCTGGAAAATCCGCTTCTCGGTCAGAGTGCATACACAGTACTAGAGTTCTCCTATGTCTTTGCTTCATCCAGCCCCCGCAAGGGACAGTTTCCTGGGGCGTTGACCTCATGACCTGTACTCTGACCTGGACTTCAAAGGTCGTACGTGAAGCAGCAAGGAATCATTGTCCATCATGAGGTCGTAGACGTCGTCGAGTTTCTTCTTGCGGATGTCCTGGCCGTCGATCTCGAGGATCTCGTCGCCGACCTGGAGGAGGCCTGCCAGGATCTTGGCTGGATGGCCGTCACCGAGTCGCGTTACAAAGATACCTGCAGCAAAGATAAAAAAAGGAATAGAGAAAGTTCAATCAAACTGTTAACAAAAACTCTATTCTCCTCTGCAAAATAAACTATCCTGTTAATGAACTAATCTTTATGGGATGGATACATGTGCTCTACAAGAGACAATCAATATCTTCCTCCTCATCTTCCGCACTTTAAGTGTTCTCTCTTTCTTGTAATTTCTGACCTGTAATTTGTCCCTAGATATAAAGTTAGAATTAGGGTTAGGGTTGTAATATGGTTTAAGTTAGGTATACATGCAGTCAGGGTTGGGTCTAGGAATAATTTAGGGGCTTGACGATACCATTAAAGAACGCAACAGATTCACCATAGAACAATCATCTCCAGGGCATCGGTACTTGGTAGCATGATCTCCATAAAATTAAGGGAATTTTTCAGATGCATCAAGGCATTGAAATAATTCTCATTTTTTTCAAATAACTCTCCATTTCCACTTGAATCTTCTGGCATTTTCATCAGCATCTAGTAAGATTTGTATGCTTCTTATTGTGACAAGCCCTCAATTTTAATTCATTTATTAAACTGCCTTATACAATAATGACATCATTGGGAGATAAAACTTAAAAGTACACAAACTCTACGCAAATCAGAATGGATGCTGATCACATAATGTACATTTACACGCAGGTTATGTCAACTGTTGGTTTATGTGACTGACAACATCAAATATAAAATAGAAAGAACCAGATAACATCAACAAGTGCCAATTCAACCTTTCCTGCTTTTAGCAGAAAGAGAGGTCAGTGTTAATGGGGGTATATAGATCTGTATATGGAAGTCTTTTTCTCGCCAAGTTTTGAATCTTGGAGTCGTTGCCAAAACCAAGTTCGCATTTCCCCTGTATTTTATTGAGATCAGGATATCAACAAAAGAGGATTTCCTAACACCTGCAATATCAATCAAGGGTATGTCCCAGTAACAATGAAATGACAAAAAAAAGGAAGAGAATTATTAAAGAAGAAGATAGAAAAGGAATAGAGAGAGAGAGAGAGAGAGAGGGGGGGGGGGGAGGAAGGGGAGAGACGAGACAAAGAGATGTTGAGGAGGCTGGGCGGAGAGAAGTGACAAAGAAAGAAAGAAGAAGAGAAAGAGAAATAGATGTAGAGAAAAATAGATAGTAAGGGATAGAAAAAGGAATAGATAGAGAAATAGATACAGAGAGGAATTAATAGATATAGAAATAGGTAGAGAAATCAAGAGAAGAGAGATACATGTAGAGAGGAGGATGGGAGAAGTGCATGACATACATCATGTGAGAAAGGAGTGAAAGAGAAAGAGAGAGAAATAGAGATAGAGAGAGAGAGAGAGAGGGGGGGCGGAGATGTCGAGGAGGCAGGAAACAGAGAGAGAGAGAGAGAGAAAACATGAGAGAAAAAAGAGTGAAAGAGAGAGAGATGCAAAAAGAAAGAAAAGAGGAGAGAAAGGGGAAGAATAGAGGAAAGGGGAACAGAAAGAGACAGAAAGAGGAGAGAACTAGAGAGAGAGAGAGAGAGAGAGAGAGAGAGAGAAATAGAGATGGGATGCTGAAGCAGAGAGAAAGACAGTAAGAGAGGTTAATATGGATGGATCTACTGATGCAGGACATGTATAAACTCATGCAGCCCTGCCTCACTGCCGAGGAGGAAACATGAATAATTTCCTCTTGTTCACCTACATGTCATCGGCATCTAGCTTCCTTAATCTAACTTCCCACCTCACCGTTTAGGACCCCAATCCAGGGGCCAAAGCTGAATGATACTTTTCTCTAAAAGCTAAGGGATAAAATACTGCAATAACTAAAACCTACATGTAAGAGCTAAAGTATGTCTCTACTGCATAATTAGATAGTAAATGCTACCCCCTGAGACACAAAGTACTTCTTTTAGATGGAAATGAAAATGTAGGAATTAAAGACTGCCTAAAAAGAAGGGTGTTTTCTGGCAAAGGTGACATATGATTTGTTTAGCTTTTACCATTTGGAAGAATAAAATAGTAGCAAAGTCCCATGAAAATAATCGTTCTAGAAATGTCTCATATTTCAAATACATGTATGACTAAAAATAGTATGACTAGAAATAGTTTATTACTTTGGACCTCATTTTTTAAAACCACATGTTTGTATAGTCCCATTTACCGATACCTGTGTTTTTCATTGTTTAGGATTTACAGCAGGGTTCTGTGAATTTGTTTATAACCTGTAATAAACCTTTCAGATAGCCTTTAGACGGTTCCTTTAACATATCAACAGAACCGGTAGTCAACATTATTTTTAATAACTTGAATGATAGGACCATGCAAAGAAGCCTATTTTAGGGGGAGGAAAACTTTGAGAAGTTTACTCTTGTAAAATGATAAACTTAGGTCATCACTTTTCCAGTGTGAAATGTATATGAAACCCCTGCATAACAATCAGTATTTACCGTGAACATACATATGATATTGTTGGAAGGTCTCTTTATCATACTTGTCAATGCCATTTTAAAAGAGTGATGACAGATCAAAAAAAAAGGGGGAAATTAGAGAATATTGACAAAGCCCTGATCTTTGCACCTCTTTTTATCCCGATCAATATGCTTTATTTGTTCCCTTTCAAGTCAATAAGAGAGGGCAACGATATACAATGGTTCATTTAAATGTTGTAACAAGATCTCGAGAAATCAAAATATACACATATATCTACATGTAACTGTACAGATGTATTTTGAAAATGAAGCTAGTGTATGAAAGAAATATATTTCAAATGAAAAGAAGAGCCTTTTGGGCAAATAGTGTACTTTAACTCATAACAAAATTTGAAAAAGATTTGAATTTGGAAAAATGACAAAGACATTACAAGTCTTCACAACTATCTTGTAAATGTAAAGAAGAAATAGTTCTCGATTATTGTATAACACTAACTAAATATTTAAAAGGCTATTCTATCAATTACATATTATGGTAATCAAAGTAATGAAGTTTGCTAGAGCTGTTCACAGCCTAGCAGAAGCCATTAAACTGACAACGAAATAATCAAGGCGACTTTTCAATTTGACTAAAAATTTAAGGCACAAAAGATGTAATTGTCACTCCTCATTAATTATGATTTAGGACCTTTCACCAATGATTTTGCATTTATATACAAGCTGTTGATAATAGAGAGGCCATTCCACTTTAAAAGACGGATCTTAACAGAAGTTGGTGACCTCTTGAAAGAACAATTAAAAGTTAGAGTGACCACAATGCTGAGGTTGATGTAGACAGATGTTGAGGTCAATCCCGTCCCCTTTAATTGCGCTTAAATGGACAAGAGTATCGGATATTACAAAGCAGGAATAGTAATTGTTAACACCTGGTGAGACGGGCTCTAACGATTGTATACTTTTGTCACTTTCGTAAGACATTAACCTGTAGTAAGGGTCAAAGAAATAATTTCCAACCCTTAATTCAGAGAAATCCCCTTTATTTGACTGAAATGGACAGCTTATATATATCAAGCACAAAAGATAACTGTTAACACCTGTTATGGGTCTTCTCTGAAGTTTGTTTGTACTTATATGTATTTGGTCACCGGTGTGTTGGCTCAGTCGGTAGAGCGTCCGCCTCACAACCAGGAGGTCGTGGGTTCGAACCCCGGCTGCGTCATACCAAAAGATGTTAAAAGACGAAAGTTGCTGCTACCTTGTTTGGCGTTCAACAATAAGGGATAGAGCAATGTCGATCTGGCGCTGCTCAGTGGCTGCTGGGCTCACGATCAATTGGGCAAAAAGAATTTCCATTTTCCATTTAACTTAATAAAATTTGGAGTGGACTTTAAAAGATTATTATTATTATTATTATTATTATTATCTAATTTTATATTAAAGACAACTTACCGTTTCCATTACTTGATGTACCCTTGGCAATGTAAAACCCAAATGGTCCGTTGGGTGGCTTGACGAGTTCAATAACCTGGGTACCGTCAGGTTTGATGGCGAGCACACGACCTATCTTGCGGCCGTGGGTCGGTGATGTCACATCGATGTCTGCTGTCGTCCGTTGCGGCCTGGGGTGTCTCCCATTGTGGGGTGTGGTCTCGAGGCCTATCACACTGGCTGATCGCCTAGGAGAGAGAATCAAAATCGACAGTAAGATTTGAATTCTACTGAAATTGGATTTATTTCCCCTTAAATCTCTGCAAATATTGGGCAAAGAATCCACTATAAGATGTATCTTTTAAGACCTTCGTGGAAAAAGTGAGCTTTCAAGAGTTGTAAGTGGCATCTTTTGAAGTTTAAAGGGATAGCTGTTTAAGACCGCAAATGCCTTCAAAGTGCATTGTTATTGGTCTTCTTCTTACTTATGACATTTCTAGTGCCCTTTTAGGACCTAAAATTGCTATGACGGTAATTTTAGACCACAAAACGTGTGAAATTTAGATTAAACACGATCATACCAATTCACCTCCACTTTAAAAAAAGTATGGTGAACGTAATTAATAAAATCAATACACAAGCCGGCTGGTTGAGCGTATAATAACCAACACGAAAAACCAACATTGGCATTGGCTGGAATAAAACGTATAAGGCGGTATCTTGTTTTTCAACGGCTGGTTCAAAATTATCAAATATATCTGTGGGGCCCCACAAATGTTAGAACTAGTTATATTTATGGTTATATTTATGGATATTTCAGCCGTCTCTCAACTGATTTTGATTAAACAAAGACTGTTTAATTATTTATATACTTTAGTCCTGTCCAATTTACTTTCTAAAAACTGACATCATTAATATACCTAATTGTCCCATATATTTGTGTCTGTGTTTGTGTTCTTTTGTAAATCCAATACACAGCAAGATTTTGTGACATTGTTTGAAAATGTCACTGTCCAAACAACTCAAACAACGCAATAGCTAGGTGCCAAAATCACAGTGTGTCTATATAACCCTCGTAACTTCATTCACATATATTAAAATCCACTACATTCTGTTCATGGTCCTGGCCTCTTTTACAGACCCTTACATAAATAAAGATACTTCCTTCTGAACTTTTCATTTTTATTTTGTTTGTTCTAGAGGGAATAAAAAATGATACAACCGCCACCTAAACCCTAAATAAAAACCAGAGATCCATTCCCACAGCACATCCAACTGGACTCTGGATTCAATGGGTGTATCTCATTTAGACTTTGCCATAGTTTTATGAAAGGAAACACCTAAAAAATAGCACAAATTTCATATTTTTGTTGATGCTCACATACGTTTAAAACCTTTGTGCATTTTTAATCATAAAACCCCACCCAAACGAATCAGAATATTTGTTCAAAATATCATAACTGAACAGACAGTTTATAGGTGTTGTCCCACTAATTTTATGTTTTATTTTGTCTGTTGGAGCCAGAAGGGTGTTAACTCATACTTTAACACACAGTTAATACCCTTCTGGCTCTGAACAGACGATATACAGTCAAACATGCTTTAGCAACCACCTGTTTATAAAGACCACCTGTTTATTAAGAACCACCTGTCAATAAAGACTACATTTTTTGTTTCCCTTGAATATGGTTTCTCATCGGAACTTGTACTAAAGGAACCTGTACATAAAGACCACCTGCCTAGAAAGACCATTTTTTGTTTCCATTGAGTGGTCTTTATAGACAGGTTTCACTGTAGTTGTAAAACAAAACAAGCCAGCAATCCCTGATACAGCACATGGTGCAATGAAATGACAGCAAAGGACTTCATGAGCAAACTATCAAACCCACAATCAATCCATCCACTCACATTTTGAGACAAGAAGCCACAACCCCAGGGTAAATATTACCTTTTTTTCTTAGGTCTTTTTGAACTTTCAAAAGAAAAAATAAGATTAAATACTTCAAAATTAATTCCCAGGCTCTTTAGAATATAATCATTATTTCTTGTTTAGTTGTCTGCAGTAAAGTATTTTCTACCGACATCTTAACTGTATTTGATGATAGAAGTTGTTGAAAATTGTAAATGCAGCAATATTGAGAAAAGAGGACTAAATAATGTTGAGCCAGTATTGGGAAACAAAAGATTAAGTAAGCAACCAGGGGACCTACGGCTTTTAGCCTTCTCCAGGGGATTTGGTAATGAGGATTAAAGCCATACCAAAGGGGATGAGCGCATTGATTTGGTATCGAACCCGGGACCTCCCAGTAACGAGACCACTGCTCTACCATTGAGCCATCGCGCCTCCTCATGCCTCATTAACGCTGTGTGTCTAAATGGCACTTAGTCTGACCTCACTAAACTAGCCGTTAGCTATTTCCACCCCTTCCTAAACCAGGGGTACCCCATATACATGTGTTTACATCCTAAAATGATTCATCGATACATGATGATAAAAAGTATTTTGAAATTCCTCCCTGTCCCCTCTCTGCCTGCAATCAACCTTGGACTTGCAGAAGTTCTTCAAACTTGGCAAAGTACGGACTAAGACTCATCTAAGACTCATCAGAGGCCGTTTGGGAGAGTTATGGGGAAGAATTTCTTCAAACTTGGCAAGGTACGGACTAAGACTCATTAGAGGCCTTTTTGGAGAGTTATAGTGATTGATGGTTATCAGTAGCAAAAGCACATGTCAGGGTTTTTACCGGATTCATATCCGGTAAAATATTTCAGAACCCTCAAAGAATTTATCTCATTGAATGGGAAGGAAGTTTTTGATAAACAATCATCATGGACAAAAGTACAAAGCCAAGTTTATTATGGCATATAAATTTATAGAATTTTAACAAATACTATAATGGAACGTACTGTTTTCTATTAAATGACTCAATATTACTTGGGACTTTCAGATTGACAATATGAATGATTGATTAATGATCATTTGATATAAAATGAGAAAATCATGACTAATTCAGTATTTATTCATCAATCCAAGCGAGGCACTTCATCTTTTGAATAATTTTAAAACCAGTCAATCATTCAGAACAGAATTTTGAATCTTACCTTTTTGAGAACACTCCTTCCGTTTCACCATCTTTGTCCTTCTTCTTTAGTAAACCAGTGAGAGACCTCAGTGATGGCGATTTCTTGAGCTGGAAAGGTTTTAAAAAAAAAGTAAATACAGATAATTTAAGTTAATACAGTCAAACCTGCTTTGGCAACCACCTGTGGAGAAAGACCACCTGTCTGTAAATACCATATTTTTCATTTCCCTTGAATATGGTTTCTCATTGTAAGTTGTAACCTGTACTACAGGAAACTGTACATAAAGACCACCTGCCTATAATGACCAAATTTCTTGCCTTGAGTGGTCTTTATATACAGGTTTCACTGTATTTCCAAATAATCAAGTTAATAAGGTGCAAACATGTACCTCCTTTCATTTGGTAGGTATATTCTTGAAAGCACAACAATGCTTGTGTCAGGTGTGCCTAACATGGCAACATATATTGCATAGTCTGTTTAGAGGCAGAAGGATGATGGTTCAGTGCAAGAACATCTCAGCTAACGGCCTTACGGATCTGAACAGACAACGATAAGCAAAAGATATTTAAGACAGAAATAAAACATTATCTCCACCCTCATAATAATTTTTTTCATTTGCAATATATTTGATTCTATGTAGTTTTAAAATTGCTTGTAATATGTGAACAATTCAGCTATTGGCTACAATCATGGTTTGTATTATACCATGAATAAATAAATTCATTACCATACAATTCAGCAAATCACACAAATACAAATACAAATCACTCGGATTGATTCCGACCCCAAAATCATGTATACAGGACACAAGAGACATTACACCTGTCTCCCTATAACATCCATTTAAGAAAGACAAAAGTAATCAAGTACACTTAATATCTAAACACAAACCTCATTTCCATCACAATACAAATGTGTCGTGGCCAAACTGTGCGCTCTTCTTCTCTTCTTATACATGTAAGACATGTTGTAAAAGATGGCCACATTACTTATACCACGCAAAAAGATTCACCCCAAATTAATGGCCATGTCTCGAAAACATTCCAAAAAAGGCAGTGGTATTTTAATCCCATCATTACAATACAATTCCTATGTCTGTGACCCTGCAAGCATAGAGCACAAGGAAATAAAAAGTTCTGTTTGTAGACGGTCTTTGATTAAAACGCGAAGACAATGACGGATCCATGCAGAAAACCAGTCGTCTTCTAACAGTGCTCAAACAGTTTGGAAGCAAATGCCATGTGCTTGCAGTAACACATACATGTTTGTACATACATAACCATATAGTCCCTTTCCAGTTCTTGCTACATTTGAAAATTAACCGAGGTGAGCTTGCGTTCACGGATCTTAAGTCAACATTTACAATTTATTTGATAAATCAGAAAATAATGGACTTTCATCCACTATCGACATGGAATTTTCACACCCATTATTTATTAAAGGGTCAAAATCATGATTTGTAAGTTGCCATAAAACAAGTTTAATATTGATTGAAATATGACAGAGCCAAAGGTTGTTTACTCCCCAAACATCAACTTTAAACTTTAACAGGTTTCAGTTTCTCAAAGCCACATTTTGTTTTCTGTTGACAGCCAGAAGGACCTTAATTAACTCATATACTTTGACACAGAATTAAAGTCCCTTCTGGCACTTAACAGATGTACATAGTATGTACAATTGAGGAACCATTTGAAAGTAAGGTTACATTTCATTAATATTTTATCATAGGCTTGTATGTTGAAGAATGTCCATCTTTCATAAGATACTTCAAAAATAATGTAGAATCTATAGAGCCAAACCTGCTTTAGTGACCACCTGTCTACAAAGACCACATTTTGTGTTTCCCTTGAAAATGGTTTCTCATTGAAACATGTACTACTGCATGTATAGGCACCTGTCTACAAAGACCACCTGCCTATAAAGACCACTTTTCTTGCCTCCCTTGTGTGGTCTTTATAGACAGGTTAAGCAATTTTAAAGCATTTTCACTGCTTGTTATAACTTCTGTTTTACTTTCCAGTCAGGATTATGTAGTTGAATTACTGATTTTTTTTTCTTCACTGAGATATCTCTCATTCCAATAAACATTGAAAGAATCTAGAATTTGTTTATTTACCTATCACTCATTTCATTAATCCATTCTCACACTCATTTATTCACTTTACCCCATTCAACTGTTTAATAATTCATTTAATCATTTATTCATTTTTTCCTTCACTCTCTCCAGATTTCATTTTCTGTATAATATATTTAAATTTTATGGCACTATATATATATATATATATATATATATATATATATATATATATACATATATAGTTACAAGCAGAGTCACCTAAACATGCACATCATAAAACATGATTAGTTTGAAATTCTACCATTAAAAAGTAAAACATGTCGATTTTTTATAACCCTCTCTTTTTCCTGGAAATTTGACAGGCAGGATAAAAGTTAATTAGTATGTCTCTGATTTCCTTCCTAATTTGATGTCATAAATTCACAAACAGAAATTGACAATTTTCTCTTCAAAATGTCCTATCTCACAGTTTTTGGAAAGCCCTTTGTCTGCAACCTCCTCTCTGCAGATTAAGTTTTGTTTAATTATCTATAATCATACTCCAAAAATATCTTTCATTTTGCACCTACCAGCCAGCCTTGCCCAGATTTTGGACAAGATAATTCAGATTTGGCATTAATTCCCTGGAGTACTCAAAGTTGGATCAGTGACTCAATAGGCATGTCTTCATCAAACCGAAGTTGCAAAATATCTGCTATTTCAACAAGCCCGATCTCAAATTAGCCAGCAAATTTGCGTCTTAATCAGCCTGCAGTTGCAATTTGAAGGCGATTTGGTCCAGAAAGGATCCTGAGAAATCTTGTTGTTTCAAAAATAGCCTGCTATATTGGGTAAATATGCACATGTCAGAGAGCTAGTTTGTGATAAGCGTATCGATCTGGTGAAGACGCAATTTCAAGCTTCGGGAAAATATCCAGAGTCTGAAAATAGCGGGTTATTTTGCAACTTTGGTCTGATGAAGACAGGCATAATTTTAATTTTTTTGGCAGAGATAGACAAGTGTGAGAGGGGGGGGGGGGGGGAGTGTCTAATGCATAGTGGGAAATGAGTGCAAAATATTAATGAGAAGCCAAAATTATGTTGTTCCTGTCGCAAGGAATGACGAAGAGTATAATCAAAGATCATAATCTGAGTTTGAGGATTAAAAGATATCACTTAAGATAGCTATATTATATTTTCTTTCATTAATGATTCATATAAGACATGATATCAATTGAATTATGTTTTCTGCTCTGCTATTAATCTAATGACGAGATGTTCCTCTCTTTAAAATACTAGTCCCCACAGTCATCTATCTATACACAATTATACAAAAACATCTAAATAGCTCGTTGTCGATCTATCTATTTGTCTATCTTTCCATCTACCGTTTCTATCTAGTATCTATCTTTTTATCCATCCATCCATCCATCCATCCATCCATCTAATCTAATCCTTTTATCTAGTATCTCTCTTTTTATCCATCCATCCATCCATCCATCCATCCATCCATCTAATCTAATCTTTCTATCTAGTATCTATTTATCCATCTATCTATCCATCTAATTATATATCTATCTATCTATCCATATATCTATCTAGTATCTATATGTAAGTCTATCCTAGTATCTACATACCTAGTGAGATTTCTATCTATCTATTTGACAAGCTCTTGATTTAAATTATATTTCAGCTATATATCTACTTATTATATCTATCTATCCAACATTTTCAAAATATCTTTTTCGATCTATCTACCTATATGTTCTTAATCCTATCTGATCATTGTATCTATTTCAACTATGGCATTTTCCGAGAAACTTGTGAATGCGTATTTATTCTGTGCACTTTTCCTCCATCTTCTCTTTTGATTCATAGCGCTTAAAGACTTCGGTGGTAAGAGCTTTATAAGCACCGTTTTTATTAGTATTTATTATTATCAAGATCATACTGTGCATCGTATTATACCTTCAACTCACATTGAACCCTTGCGTAAAGATCATGACTCAAATACTTTCATCATCACAGGGGGATCTCAATCTCTTCAAGCTGATGCAGACAGTATTTTAGGCACGTACAACGCAAGTGTCGTTCTACCCGCACAGGTGTCGCAGAAGACGCAACAAAGGTTTACAATTAGCCCTGTTACAAGTTGTACTATTACACATATCCTCTCACAGCGCCCCGCCCGAACCACAAATTATGTATTTTTTTATTGCTGACCCTATTATTCATAAGCGGAATTCTGGAAAACGAATAACTAAGTGGCTATACAGACATGTATTTTGTTTTGTCTTGTGATGACGGACGTGTAGAAAGGACAAACCATCGGCTACCCACCGGTGCATATTTTTTTTTACACAACTGTTTAGCCAGTTCAGTCAAATATACTGTGCAAATGACTAGAGACAGAGTCTAATTTAACATTACCCTTAGCAGTATTTTTGGATTGCTGGATCTGTATACATGTGTACATACTCGTTATATCTTTGTTTCTCGTTAAATCTATCCTCTTCTTTTTCGTTATGTATTTCTCTGTTTCTCCTTCAATCTATCCTCTTCTCTTTTTTCATGTATTTCTTTAGTTTCCTTCAATCTATCCTTTTCTCCTCTGTTATGTATTTCTTTGTTTTTCCTTCAATCTATCCTCAAGTTCTCCTTCAATGTGTATTTTTTTTTGTTCTCCTTTATTCTATTCTCTCCTCTTTCGTTTTATGTATTTCTTTGTTTCTCCTTCAATCTATCATTTACTCCTTAGTCATCTATTCCTTTGTTTTTCCTTCAATCTATCTTTTTCTCCTTCTTTATGTATTTCTTTGTTTTTCCTTAGTCTATACCTGAATCTATAATCCTCTTAGCTGTTCTGTTAAAGTGTATTTCTATGTTCTTCCTTTGACTTATCCTCTTCTCTTTCCTTGTTTTCCCTTTTCTATCATTTTCCCTTCCCTAGATGTATTACATGTACTATAGTTTGCTGACGACTTAGACTCTTTTACCAGAGCACTTCTAGGAATTTTTTCATGAAAATGGCTAAATAGTGTTAAAAAAAAATATGTGCCCACAAGATGGCCATAAGGGCTTTGAATTATCAATGGCAGTAAGGCCTTCTTGCAGGGGATATGACAAGTTTCGTGTTATACATGATCAAGCTATATGTACATGTACACACACTCATCTGTTCAGAGCCACAAGGGCATTATAACTCTGTGTTGAAGTCTACGAGTTAACATCCTTATGGTTCTCAATAGATGAAATGGAATGTTTGCCACCGACTCTTTATGTAACATACAGTAGGAAACAAACATTTGTGACACAAAGGTGATGACCCCTAAAAACACCAATTAATAAGCAAAAACATTATTTACGGGAAAGATAACAAAATAGCAATATATATGAGAATAGATAAATATATATATAAATTTGTATTATTATCATTACCAGTATTATAATTATAAATATATGTATATGAACATACTTAGAATATGAAAAGGGGCATATAAACTAGAAAATAAAAATTATCAATAAAGACAAATAAATTATTGAATAAAATTAAATAGAAGAATGAATATATCAAAACACATAAGAAAATGTGGTGATACAAAGACCCCTCCCAATTGTTTAATTTTTAATATGCATCCTAGATGAAAATTGTTTGAGGACTTCCCACCATACAGCAAATTATAATCAAATATACATACAGTATTTTATATTCATGGTACCCCTTCCAGTTCCATTATTCAGTTAAAGTTTTGCAAATCAACTATTGAAACATTCCCAATCCCCATTAGATTTACTGAGGATTGGTAGAGGTTCTTCTCAAAGCTACAAAGATGAGTAACATGCTTAAATCCAATTACGCCTAGGTAAATGTAGCCCTGAAAAGCTTGGGAAAATCAGTCTAAATTGAGTTAAGCTCAGTGACATTGATGTTGTCATCAGAAATCAGGATTTACAGGCAAGAATCCAAGACTGACTTGCATTTCTAAAAAAAAGAACATTTTTTTTTAATTGGGGGGGGGGGGGGGATATTCATTTTCTTTGCATGATTCAAGTTGTATTATTTCAATATTTCACTTTTTCGGTTAAAGATCAAATAGATAACATTCAAACATAATTTGATGGATATAAAATAATGGATTTGTCTGTTCTGCACCAGAACGAGGGCGTTAACTCTGTGAAAAAAAGTAAATATGTAAATTTAATGAGTTAACACAATTCAGGCTCCAAACAGATGCATTGTTAAAGTAACATTAACTGTACTCTTTTCATCTATGAGATAAACAGTCATGATAGTCACACTTCTATTTTTTTTTGAGAAAAAGAAATCCACATTTTAACCCTTTATATGCTTCGGTCGATGGATGAAAACAAACAATGGGCTACCACAGTAGACTTTTGTCACACATACAATGTCTTAGTAAAATTAACTCCAAAACAATATGGCAGTCTTGGATTTCAATTCGTTGGAAGATTTTCTATAAATATATATATAATTCTTTGAATCCACCTCACTGTTTTTGTCATATTATGTTGATTGGTAAGGTGAAACTTCTTGATTTTATTACTTTTTAAAATTAAATTTAAAAAAAGGCTACATACCTTTGGTTTTTCCAGTGAGTAACTGTCCTTATTCGATGAGAGTTTATCCAAGCTGAGGGCCCTCCGGAGCTTCTTTTTCGTCTTCTCCACTTTTTCTGATATCGACGTCCTGGAGAGGATGGAGAGCTGGGAACCGGAAAGCTTCTTGTAACTGTCATAGTCACTAAAGATAAAAAAAGAAAAAGGAAAATAAGAATTTTGATTAGGAAAAGATAGAAAATTGAAAAGAAATTTTGAATTCTAATTGATACAGATTGAGACAATCTGGCTAATATTAATATTCAATCAGGATTGGTTATCATTCAGTAAAGAGGGATGTTTGGACCTGAAAAATTGAAATATATTTACAAAAACCTGCTGAAAATCACATACATAGAAAAGCACATGGATATACACATATGGGACTATTTGTTCTATTTCTGAGGACTGTCAGCTTCACTTTCTCATCTTTCTTTGTTATAAGTCAGCTTTCATATATCTTTTATCAAGATCAGTTGATTGAAATCCTCATTGAGTATCAGTCTTGAGTTTCAATGTGAGTTCTGTACCATTCTATGAAGTTGATTTCTTGTAATCCGCGCAACTAAACTAAAATATACTGTTGTCAGCCAGAACATGAAAAAGTTTAATGGCTTCAATTCATGGAGCTTAGGATGCTATTGACGTCAATAAGAAATTTATCAAATTAGATTTTTTGCTCCTAGGAAATTAACACTACCTCCCTGTCAAATCAGGGAGCTCCATAATAAAGCATTTATAAAAATAGTTTCATATACAGCTGTACTCTAAAATCCTTATCAATTATCAGCATACCGGTAGTTATTTTGGAAGTTACCCCTGCTTTTCATTCCTATTAGCATCCCATTGTTTTAATTTGAGAATTTTCATCTTAAATGTACCAATCACCAGGAAATATAATTTGTGTATCGGTAGAATTTATAAAATCAACCTCAAAAACTGTACCTGGCATCTTAAAGGTAAACAATTATAGGAGTATGAAGAAAATAAAGGATAACCTTAAACCCCAGGTACAGCTAGGGCTCACACCGAACGGAGCACTGTTCTATGTGAGAGCTGTTATGCATGTGTGAGGTAACTAGCCTACTTAACAATATGTATTACTGTTCCCTGAGAATATATTTACAAGCGGTGGTGGTTATTTTACCCGATTGCTAAGAAAGTATAAATACTTGTAAGTAAGCAAACAGACAGTCGACGGCTTTAGGTCCTCTCCGAGGGACCTGGTAATGAGGATTAATGCCTCAATACCAAAGGGCACTAGCGCATCGCCTTGGTTTCGAACCCGGTGCACCGGATTACGAAACCACTGCTCTACCAACTGAGCTATCGCGCCTCTCTTTTAAATTGCAATATCTCTTTGTAGAACTAAATATTTGAGGCACATAATTTGAATACCAGTACATTATAGTGACATGGAACCCTTTACATCAACAACTAAACAGGTTTTGCTGGTTGATACACTTTCAGTTTCAGTCTTCAGTTTGATTGTGAATTCTGTAGGATTCTGTGACTTTGAATTCTCATCATCACAACTCAAGGCTATCCCGACAAAACTGAAATTTACTGAAGATGGCATGAACACAATAAAATTCATGGAACTGAAAGGATGTTATGACGTCAATAGGAAATTTATCAAATAAGACTTTCGCTCGTAGGAAATTAACACTACCTTGCAAAATAGGCAACATATTCAGTCACTCCAAGGGGTGCCTAATCAAAACACTAGAGAAGCAATTTCCGTATGATATAGCTTTTTTTTTAGGTTATCAAATTATGTGACAGGAAAAACAGCACAAGAGTATGCACATCCTGTGGATGATTGTTTCCAGAAATGCTATTTTAAAAAAATACCTTCAACCGTAAACTTTGACTACATGGGTATAGCATATTCAGTGTATGCATGCATCAAATTATTAGAGCAAAACTTGAAATGTTAGAGTATAACTTCTTTAAATTTCTTCTTTAATTTCAAAATTAAAAAAATTAGACAAATTTGTTATTAATAACTTCTTTATTAATTATATCCTTTTATTACAAAATCATCTCATTAGAAATATTGAACAAAATTTTTATTTACAAGTTTTCTACATCAGTCCTTTATCTTTTAATCTGTATGCATGAGCCCTATATAAACAAACTTAAATCTTGGGGGTCCAGACTTAGATTTTGGGCGCCCATATGTCCCAGGCGCCTGTTAATAGTGTCAAGCCCTGCCTATAGGCCATTTTCATAATATGTTGCTAGGTAGGACAAGCCATAATGTTGTCCTAACTAGCAACGATTAATGTATGCAATTTGCATTCTGTCTATTGGTTTACAATTATTTGTTACAGGTGAATGAAAGAATTTGTAACAAGACTCTTTACAAAGACATATGCACTAAATTTGACTACATCACAAAAAATGGTCTATTAGCAATCCTATTGTTTTCATTTGACCTTCCCTACTCATGCGGGGGATGTTGTGCTTTTTGAAGAGTATTGATTTTAATTGATTTTGTCACCCCTACCAATGTGTAAAATCTTCTGTCATCGTCATGTCTTCTTTGTTTACAATTTGTGTCTTGGAGACTGGGTTGTCACCATAATATTTGATTGAAGTATTGGTGATACTTGATTTGTCAGTAATGTTATCACATTAATAATTTGACTAAATGTATCCATTAATTAGCAAAAATAAAAATGAGTGTATAGTTACAGGTGAATGCAACTAAAGTTAATTAACATCTAAAATTATTAAGATGTTTTTCAATATGTGTTTCAAGATGTTTTTCCTTGATTTAGCATTTTGCTAGTTTTTGTTCATTTACCATTTTTTTCCTTCTATGCATATTAATGTATACGGATTTCAAATATTAGAATGTCTACATTTCTTTGGTAATACTGTCTACATTTCTTTGGTAATAATGTTTATGGCGCAATACAATAATCAAAATACAATATGCTATATCATATACATTAAAACTTGCAATTCTTATCCCCTATTCAATGATGTTTAACTTCTCATAATTCATCTTTTATGATTTGAAACTTTATTTTCTCACTGTCACTCTCTTCAAGTCCCACCCATAATGTTCCATGTATCCCTCTTCTTGCCTTGTTCTTATTCCAATACCCCCTCTCTCTCTCTCTTTCTTGCCACTCCATCCCTCTACCCTTCCAATCCAGTCCAATTCAATACCACAAATTAAAGATCAAATAGATTATTCAGATCCAAAAGCAGTGGTCTCAAAAGTTCAAACGACCCCTGTACGTTTCATAGAACGCTCTCCTTGAGACCTGACTCAACGCAGGAGATCAGAGACAAGAGAAATATGATACAACTCATCTCTTAATTGATATTGGAATCTTCCCCCATTCAGACTAGCAGAATACAGTGTACAGATGAATTAAAAAATGTATATCTTATACCATAATATTTTTCACATCTCAACATCATATAATCCTACAGTAAAACGGAGGCGTAATTAATAGTCGGAGAAGCTGACTTCCCTCAAAAACTAGATTCTTTCTAATATGTTCCATTCTATCAAAGTGTATACAGGTGTATGATAGGACTCATTTTACAATATTCTTTTTTTTTGTTTCCACGATTAAAAAAGAAAGAGATTTCCACTGTTGTGAATGCTTCAAATGTCTTGATTCTTCTACGATAAGCCCTCAACAAAGGTCTTGAAGAAATCATCCCAACAAGCTGATGTTGACAGGAAATAGAAGATATGGTCTTGGAGACGCAAAGTCCGTCGGTCAAGAACCAACAACAAACTTACAATAATATTCTGCATGTATCACTATATCATCTTAGGATCGAGAGAGTCATCAAAAAGAGAAGTGCATCAACTCCTAAGCCCTCTCAGAGCTCAGACTCAGACTCAGACTCAATGTTACACCCATTACCAAAATAGGGTTTGAGCCCTGCAATTCTCACATTAAGATTCTTTTTGCATTTAATGATTAGATATCATGTTTCTTGACTGACAGAAAGACAGACATGTACACAGTATTACTTTATATTAAACTGTAAAACTAAAATATAATAAAAACAACTTGGTATACTGGCTTCCAGATAGAGTATGAAAGTAGAACATTGTAGCACCTCATATTCTTTTAATTTATTTTCAGAGGCAAGGTAAAAACTAGTTGACTACAGTTTTGTGAGTGTGAGGATTTCTGTCATATCCATACAAAAATGGACCAAAAAATGAAAATGGTAGCTGCACATTTCTAAATTGAAAAAGAATAAAAATCACTACGGTAAATTGAAAGTAATGAAATATGAGAAGTGGCTATTTTTTACCTAAAATCTCAATTTTTTCCCCCTCAAATGTCCCCTGAAGATGAAACATTTTTATGACCAAACCTTAAATTGACAGAGCTAAATCTAGACAAGCCTGACAGCTTTTGAACATATGTGATGACAATGTTTCAAGTTGATTTACGAGAACAGAAATTGCAAACTCACTTTACATATCACTTCTCACTATGGGCCTCAAGATATGAATGAATGAACATTTAGAAGATCAAATTTTCATAGGGAGAGAGAGAGAGAGAAAAGAAAGGAAAGAAATAGAAGGGATGATGTTGAAAGGCAGCACCATGAAAAGAAATCCATGGAGCGAAAAGACACAAAAGGCCTGTCTTCATCAGCCCGCAGTTGCAATTAGCAGGATATTTGGTTGAGAAAATATCCTGAGAAATCTTGGTCTTGTTTCCAAAATATCCTGCTATTTGGGAAAAAGCGGGCTAATATTTGCGCCCGTGCAAGCTAGTTTGTGATTGAGCGTATCTGTCCGGTGTACGCGATTTCGAGCTTTGGAATAATATCGATAGCGGGTTATTTGACAAACTTGATGTGGTAGAGCCAGGCCTAGAGTTTTTTTCCTTTCCAGCCTTCACTAGATAGGGCCCATCATTTATTATCCCTATAAAATATACACCTATAAGGTCTATGCATTAGCATGGGTAAATACAGTCAAACCTGTCTATTAAGGCCACCAAAGAGAAACAGAAAAACAGTGGCCACTATACACAGGTGGCCTTTCTAGACAGGTTCTACTATGCACATATTTCTTTCTTGAAGGAGACAAAAGACATGGCCACTATACACAGGTGGTATTTATAGAGAGGTGGCCACTAAGACAGG